TGGGGGCTGTACTGCTGGGGCGCCGGCGACCCGGCGGCCACGCTGCCGGAGTACCATCGGCTGTGGGCTGCGCCGCCACGCGGCACAATCATCCGAGGGCTGCGCCGCCGTGGCGCCGGCGGCCTGATGGCTTTACCGCCGTGGCGCCGACGGCCGGGCGGCTGTGCCGCCGGTCGGCGCTACGGCATGCTGGCGCCATCTACCGCCACCTACGACGGCGCCGTGACCGTTTAATCGACGGCGCGCACGCTGGCTGGAGGTCAGCGGTACCCGTCAGTGGCGGCGGAAGCGGGGGGGCAGCGGGGGCACGGCGCCCCCCCATCTTCCAGGGTGGGGGGCAAACATATCTTTTTGCCCCCCCAAAATTGCCTAACCTAACCTAACCTAACCTAACCTAACCTAACCTAACCTAACCTAACCTAACCTAGCCTAACCTAACCTAACCTAACCTAACCTAACCTAACCTAACGACGAAGTACCACAATACTTCCATACTACGTCAGGAACATATGCCAGTTTGGCTGAGTACCTTTTTATTAAGTTGATATAGCGAGTAATTTGGATTGATAATAGCCGTTTTCACGACGGGCTATCCGGCGAGCTAGTCCGTGACGGACTATTTCCACCAAACGCCCTCCACACATAATGCTCAGAAATCAAGCAGAGCTATCTACGAGCTACCGGTAACCGAAGTCTGGAAGAGTAGGACGGAACGCGAGTGGCCCGGCACGGACGTCACGAAAGCGCGTCTGAGCGTGCCACATGCCTTTCCCCGCGACTCTGCCAGACGCCAGCCGGCATAGGCGCGTGAGCCGGGGGGCAGCATGGGGGCAGCCTGCCCCCACAACTCTGGGGCCGTGGGGGTCGCTGCCCCCACAAAGTTTCAAAGGGCCAGGAACCGTCGGGGCAGCTTGTCCTCCCCATATTAGCGGCCGTGGGCCTCAAAGAAAAGCTGAATGGAAGACAATACCTATTTAAGTAAAAAATCCCCCTCTGTACGGGGACCCGCAGTTGCTATTGTACACGAACCCCAACTCTAGCCGTCTGTCCTGTCCAGTAACAACCGATAACATTGATATCGACTGCCGGTCCCTGCACAAGAGCAGCTGAGGTTTTCTGTGCGTGCCCTCTGACGGCTTATCGTTGTTCCCTGTGAGGGTGCTGGGACAATTTACTCAGGGTCGCTGTACAGTAGCAACTGCGGGTCCCCGTACCTGACTTGACAGCTCATGTGTGGAAGCTTTAAACGTTTATTCCAGGTTACCAAAAAGGTAGTTTCTTGACTCAGATGAGACTAAATATCTCACTTATTTGCAAATGTTTTATTTTTTTTTATTTTTTGTTGTAAAGGCCAAGGGGTGAAAAATAAGTGGCCTAAAACCGGTGAGAAAACTAGATCTGGGGGTACCCTAGGTTCCGGGAAGGATCAGGTGTGCCCCCCCATCCCAAAATACCTTCCGCCGCCACTGGTACCCGTCCGAGGAGGGGCAATGCTGGCCGTTTTTCACTCTGACTTTTTGTTGTTAATGATGGCGTCACCTCCTTTACCAACCTTCACTAACAACTAACTGTCTTCTCTCTAACATTACTAATCCATCTGAGCTCCTGTATCCTTGCCAGCCGGTGGCGCCATCTATCTATTCACTATGTTTTTGTTCGTTGACTCAAACTACATACCTTATTTGCCTATTTTTTCTGTATTGATTAATAAACCGCCGGTGGAAACCGGAAGAGAGAGAGAATAAAGCAGCCAATATTTTCTGTCATGTGAGAAATAAAATGACAATATGCACAATTGCGGGCTGTGGCATGTTGTGAAGTTTTTCCAGTCTCTGCTGCAAAAACGGTGGTGAATCCACCGTCGTCGGACGGTTTCGATGACGCCAATCATCGGCGAGTGTTGCTGTGATGGCCGACCTGACTGAGCGCACAGCGGCAGCCGCCGTCGCCAATAACGACAGTGAGGACACCTCCGAGTCGGACGGAGATGCCGCCGCGGACGACTTCACCGTGCTGGGACGAGGTGGAGTGCTCGAGCCGACAGGCCGTGCACCGCGTGCGCTGCCCGACTGGCTGGCGCACCCGCAGCCGATTGGCGACCGGCGGCCGGCGCCGGCCAATCTGCCGGCGCTCTGCCCCGAGCTGCGCGCCCGGCTGGCCGCCGAGGGCATCGAACAGGTGTCCCTGGTGCAGGTGACGGTGCTGCCCGAGCTGCTGGCGGCCGCAGAGTCGCCGCTGCCACCGGCCGACCTTTGCGTCTCGGCGCCGGCCGGCCGCGGTTAGACGCTGGCGTTCGCGCTGCCGCTGGTGCAGGCGCGGCGCCGCGGTGCGCCGGCCGCCGGGTGCGTGCGCTAGCTGTGCTACCCACACAGGCGCTGCCCGCTCAGGTGCCCGCCGTGTTCCGCCAGTACGACGCCGACACGCCGCTCTGCGTCCGGCTGCTGGGTGGAGACACAGTGGCACGAGGGGGGCACCAACTGGTGGCGGTGGGGCCGCGCGGCCCGGTCTCCCTGGCTGATCGTGGTGAGCACTCCCGGCTGGCTGATGGGTCACACAACCAGCGCCGAGGGCTTCTCGCTAGCGCACCTGCGCTACCTGGTGATCGACGAAGCCGACCGGGTGATCGAGATGGCCGAGACGGGCTGACTGAAAGCGGTGGAGCGGGTGGCGGCGGCCACGGCCCGCCGCCCTGCATCGCCGGCCGCCGCCGTCTGCGCGCCTCACCTGCCGCTGCAGAAGCTGCCGTTCTTGGCCACCCTGTCACAGAACCCGGAGGCCGGAGAAGCTGGAGCGAATGTCGCTGTTCCAGCCGCGACTGCTGGTGGCCGGCAGGCGGCACGGCGGCCGCCGCCGTCGCACTGCCCGGTCAGCTCGTCGGCAGGTTCACCACGCCGGCCGAGCTGAGCGAGTCGTTCAACGTGGTGGCGCCGCAGCCGCTGAAGCCGCTGCTGATGCACAATTTGCTCCGACAGCCCGACTGGCGGCGCTCGCTCGTGTTGGTCAACTGGAACGAGGCGGCGCACCAGCTGGAGCTACCGCTGTCGGTGCTGGGCGCGCGCGAGGCCGAGTTCCCTGGGGCAGTGCCGGCGGGCCAGCGGCGGCGCGCGCTAGCTGAGATGGCCGCGCTGGTGTGCTCGAGGCTATGGCGCGCGGTATTGACGTGGACGCCGTGGACGCGGTCGTGTCGTACGACATCCCGGCGCTGTTGAAGGCACACTGCGTGCGTCGGACGGCGCGCGTCAGCCGGGCCGGCCAGGCGGTCACGCTAATGTTTGAGCGGCAGCGCAGCCATTTCCAGCGGCTGATGGCGCAGGCGGGCAAGGCGGACGGCCGGGTGCGGGAGACGCCGGTGCCGCTGTACGAGCTGCGCCAGTACGAGGCGACCTACGTCAGTGGATTTCCACACTAGATTCTAGTTGATCGTTTTTTCACCTTTTTTATGCTCATCGCTCATGATTTATTTACATTTTAGAAATATTACAATGAATAGGTTGTCATCAGCCTAGAAAAGTTAAAGTAAGTAAGGCGTTTTTAGTTGCATAATGTATATTTGTTCATGAACACGGATTTAACATGTCCTAACGCTCAAACATTTCGATATTAGACCCGAGTTACAAACCAATCGAAAGGCTTAGACGATCATTTGGGGCGTAGCCAGACGGCTCGGCTGGGTGTGAAATCCGGCGACCAAGGTGGTGACCACCCGATCATAATGCAGAGCGGTCTCCGTCGGACGATTGTGTCCGCGCGCAACGAATGATCTCGGCACACGTGGACGAGTACGGCAGGACTCTCCACTGAGCGGTACTGGGCGCAGTCGAACGACGGTCGACGAAGCTAGCGCAGAGATTGTTACGAGCCGGACCAGTGTAGCGGGGCCGGAGCTCATATTGTTTGCTGTGTGGCGTTCCTTCGTCTTGACCGGGCCCGGCAAACGGGGCCTGCATATAGGCTGAAACCACCTAGCCGGGCAGCATGACCTCCACCTCGGCGAAGTGGGGCGAACGACCGCCCTCAGCCCTGCAATGACTGCGGTGCAGTTAATCTGGGTAGGTATCTTCCTGAGGTAAGACACTCGCCTTGGCACAAGGCTTTATATAGGCCTTGGCGAATCCTTAGCCCTCGGTCCTAGAAGTAGGTGTAATGTAGTGCGCGCGAAGCCGCCTCGCAGCACCGCAGTTCACTCGCTCGGCAGCGGAACTGTCCGTCCAGCTTCACGTGGCGCCTCTGGGAACAATGTTTGCCGCTTCTTCCTCACTCTTTTGACATCTAGGAAAGAGGTACGACTCCCGGATCCGTCGGGAGCGGGTCCCATCTATTATAGTCTCCACCTCATAAAAGGTGGGAGTGGGGGTCCATACATTGCGTGCACGTTCGACACGATGATTTTCTACAAGGTGCAACTAAAAGCAGACAAAAAGGTTAATTGCAAGTTGAAGGCATTGTAAAAATGAAAAATAATAGGCTGACAGGAAAAAAAGATCCACTAAAACGCACGCTTCCTATCGTGACCGTCATATATGACGTAGGTTTACAATTTGGTGGTCTTGTATTGGCAAGTTTATTATGGTCTATTTTGTGGTTACAACTCTTAAAAATATATGTTATGTTTTCCAATAATAATATTTCTCAATCTTTATTGTATTTGCTTTAAAAAAACACGCTTAACTTTATTTGAAACATGTTTTAAATAATTTATCAATCTCCTTGACCATTATCGATATTAAAATATCAGCTGACTGCCGGCAACAAATATTTCCGGCCGATGTTGGCTGAAATTTTTTTGTTGGTGAAACTCGTGGCTGTGTGGCGTCTATTTTTTCGGCTGGATATTTTATTTCGGCGGCCGGCTGGTATTTTTTGGTAAAACTGGCCTCAGGACAAGTAAGGAGTATTTGGAGGACCAGCAATTTTTCATGAGGATTGAGGACCATCATGAGTACCAATATGTTTCTGTGTCTTTCAAATGGCAGGGTGATCAGTGAAGAAGAAGCAGACCATTCGCGAGAATAAACATGTATTTCCACTGAAAATAGATGCTATTGACACTCAATTTTCCAATGACAGCACTGACTTGTCGGTCATTTAGTGATAACCATATCCGCGGCCATATCCGGATCCGTAGCCGTATCCGGCGTACCCAGCCCCGTGACCGTATCCGCCGTATCCAGCCTGGTGTCCGTATCCAGCTCCGTGTCCGACCTTGGCGCTGTGTCCGTAGGCGTACTCGTCACCGTATCCGCCGTGTCCGTATCCACCGGATCCGCGCGCCTCCGAGTAGGTCTGCGCATATCCGCCGACGAATCCGCCGTGTCCGTATCCGTCGCCGTATCCGCTGGAAACGTGACGTCATCGCTGTTAGGTTCAAACACTTCAAACGCATGACATGAGCAGCAAGCTTGCTACTGGCGGTTGAAGTTTGCATTAGCTACCTAAGTTAGCTGGGGTGTGATTTGTGAATCTCGTTGGGTATATAGTATATATTCTTAACGGTCGAAGCTGACAGACTTCAATGCTCAGTAAGTAGGTATGCACTATTGCATACGTTTGGTATGTCCTATAGGTAATAGGCATGCAACAACACTGTAAAATTTCAACACTTGCGAATCAAGCCGCCGAGGTCACATAATGATCTGCGTTAAAATCGTGAATGTTTACTTTATTGAGGCTGAGCTATTGTTTACTGGACTAGCACAAAGCAAACTATTGGGAAAAAAACTTAGCAATATTCAAGCTTTTTCACTATTGGCTCAAATATATCGAGGCTCACCTGTATGTATATAGGTCGAGTGGAAGATGTACCTATAGATTTAAGCTGTCAGCGAGGCTCACCTGTAAGTCGGGTGGACGATGTGTGATCCGTACTTTGCGCTGCCCCAGGGGTTGTACCTGAAAGGTTAATGGCGGGTCACGTCACTTACACCTAACCATTTCGATGAAATATGTGATATAATCGAGCATCTGGCCCGACGGCTAATCGGACAACCAACTAGCGAAGCTACTTTATTGAACAGTAGCCGCGTTTACATAGGGCTAGTTGCCAGATAGCGGAATTCCGATACCGAGACATTTATTCCTCTAACGAGACATTTCAGGCACATTTCGCTGGTTCTGACGACCTATCCGGCCTTCTGGCCGGAATAAGAACTTTCATATGTTAACTCATTTTTTATACCACTCTTGACACTGGTACTCGAGCATGCACGATATTCGCAGACAATGCCTGTTCAAAAGTGACGAGAAGATCCTGCTGGCCAGGTTTATTTTGCTCACGTTTGTACGTTGATGTGACTCTCGGCGTTTCCGTAACCGCCGGCGGCAACCGCAGCGGCCGCACACAGCGAGAGAACAGCCAGCTGGAAATATGAATATTGAATAACCATTACATGATATCATCGGCGGCACACAGCGAGAGAACAGCGAGCTGGAAATATAAATATTGAATAACCATAACATGATATCATCGGCCGCACAGCGAGAGAACAGCGAGCTGGAAATATATATAACCATAACATGATATCATCGGCACACAGCGAGAGAACAGCGAGCTGGAAATATAGATAACCATAACATGTTACCAGCGGCGGTACACAGCGAAAGAACAGCGAGCTGGAAATTCAGAGGGAATTAATTTTATTAGCGGCGGCACACAGCGAAACATCGCTAGCAGGACATTTGGAGTTTTTTTTTTAAATAAATTTTGTCCGAATGGATGAATGGGTGGCTATGGGCCCTGGTGCCCCACTAATTTATTTCATTTTTTCATTTTTCATTTTATTTTAGGGACCAGGCACAGGCAAAAAACGCCCGCATCCTCGACCGTGAAGGTTACAAAACAAAAAGATGCTGGAACGTGGCGAAAAAGCCTTTGACGTACTGTTCTTCAGTGGTGCCTAAGTAAGATGAGAGTTGCCCGAGCTCTTCCGCCCACTTCCTCACCTGGAACATTGTCAGGTGTCCGTTTAGCTGTCCGACTGGCTAGCTGGACGAGTGTGCGTTGCCTGTGCCCCGCTCCCTATCATCTGACTATATATACCGACTGTACTCGCCCCCGGGGCTCGGTCCCGTCGTGACGGCGCCGACGGGGGTGCACGTCGCCGGTGACCTGACCCCGCCCCGACTGACCCTTGACGGAGCGATCGGGCGACCGGCCCACCTTTGGACATGGGCGTGACATCGTTAAATGACATGATATTTAATGTAGCTACACGGGGGCGGTGGAGAAATTCAATCGCGCTTTAGTAATGCTGGACTTAGCACGCCTTTATCGTGTATGATTTGAAACATCATACTCATTGCAGGTAGGCTGTTACACCCTTCGCTGTAACTGTACATATAGTGTATAGCTGGATACATATGTAGAAATTCGAAAATATACATATCGTCTATGGATTTCATATATATTTTTAAGATATCACGATGTTATTATATAGCCGTCATCACGACGGGTTATCTGGCGAATGCACCAAACTTGACTAAATATGCACCAAATCTTTTTCAACAAAATTCTGTCATGATTTTATTTCAGTGTTTAACCCGGCACCGCCTGGGCTATTTCCGTACCCACATCAGCCTGGGGGGGGTCGGATCCGACCCCCCCCCCCCTGTTATCTCGAGAACCAATGGTCGTATCGAGCCCCGCGAGGCGGCGTTCGAAAGGTCTCTACGAGACCTTCCCAAAGCACTCTTAAGATTTTAAGATTGAGGTCAACTTTCGGGTCAAGGTCAGGTCAAAGGTCAAATTCAGGGGTTTTGCATGATTAGGCTTACGGCAGCGGAATCGATAGCTGCTGCTCGAAACTCACTACAAATGACCTCAAAGACATAGTGAAGGTACCATGTGCGTATAGGGGTCATACTAAGTACGGGTCAAGGTCAGGTCAGGTCACGAAAGGTCACGGTTTTCACTTTCTGCTACATGGGCGTGCGACACATGTTTTATGGCTTATTTTTCACGCCAAATCCGATGGTAATGGTTATATGTGACCCCACGTCACTGTGCTGGTGATAAGTGTGCATTGAAAGCACAAAAAATCGTTTATACTATACATAACTAAACGAGGGCTAAGAAAAAAAGTCAATTTTTCAACTTTTTATTTTTGACATAAAAATGCACTTTTCTAGACGAGCTTTGTCCCAGGAATCTAGTGGTGCCATTTGTTTTCACATGCGATGTTCAGAAGTGCCTCTAATTCGCGAAAATGCTTATGACGTCACCATGCCCTATGCATGTTGGAGCTATTTTTTACAATTTGGGGGTCAAAAATCAAGATAGAAAGTTGAAATTTGGGACATCTAATGTTCTAATAGAGCTCTATAACATATGTTCCGGTTTTTTTGAAATTCTCAAAATTTTGGATTTTATTAGCTGTTTTCCAAAAAAAAGTAGTTTTTTGAATTTTTGGGGGTGAAAAACGCATTTTATGGAAAATCCGAGATAGCCATTTTTAAGAACTCGTTGAGCTGCGTCTTTTCATGTCCTTAATTTGCAATTTGCTTAAAACCTCTATTTTTGGCGATTTTTTAAACATTTACCATTTTTTGACTGAAAACGCCTTGTAGTTACATCACTAAAATCGATATATCTCAGAAATTTTTGAATTTTTTTCTTAAAAATTGCACAGGAGACGTCAAATTGATGGGGGAGAAGGTATGCGAAGTTTCAAGTTGATAGCGCAAGCGGTTCATGAGTTATTCAAGAAAAACGGAGGGGGGGGGGTCGGATCCGACCCCCCCCCAGGCGGTCGCGGGTTAAATAGAAAATAATGTCTAGTAATTTGAAAAAAAATCAGGTGTATCAGCAGCGGCGCAACCCGAGCTCATAACTTCTAAGAAACAAAACGAACCTAATTTGACCAAATCTGCACCAAATGTCAGCCAACTGTGTACTAAATGGCCATCGTAAAAACGGCTATTATGGATCTCGTCTTAGTATTGACCTGAGTATGCCTACAGACTCTGATTACAGATACGCGCGTTTCATAAGCATTTAAGGTGAGGTGTGGCTCGCCCTGATGATGCGGCAACATCCCACGAAACGGCACACTGTGATAGGATCCGTCGAGACTCGAGAGCCGGGCAGTTTCCTACGGAACACGGGTGGGAGACTGCAACGCTGTATGTACAAAACACTGGCACAGCGGATGGAGTGACTGCAATGATTACAAGGGAGTAGCACCGGGTGTAAGATAATGCTAAAAAGACCGTCGCCTCTCTCTCTCTCTCTCTCTCTTTCTTTCTCTCTCTCTCTCTCTCTCTCTCTCTCTCTCTCTCTCTCTCTCTCTCTCTCTCTCTCTCTCTCTCTCTCTCTCTCTCTCTCTCTCTCTCTCTCTCTCTCTCTCTCTCTCACTCATGTACCTATATACCTTTAACATTTCGCTTCCATTTTCCGTTCTCGGTTACTCGGCGTAACAAGTAAATTCAGTACGGGTCCTCTGGGATTGAGCATGGGAACGCTGGTCCGATCGCGCGACGTTGTATGGCCCTCCAGCAAAAGGGTGGATACTGGATAGGTAAGTACATACTAGGTAGTCAATGTAGTTTGGGGATACTAACTGAATGACACGGGCACTTCAGCAAAATTGCTTGGTAGAATGATGAAGAGGTTTCGTGCTGACACTTAAGCAGAGTTTTTATACCATACTATACTATACATTTTTATACTAACAGGCAACAGCCTACATAGGTATGTACTTATTAATCTGCGCCCTGCTGTATGGTGTTTCAACACATCCCTCCCCCCCCCCCCCTGTGGCTTTTGGCACACCTCATCATACATGCTGTGAAAATTTCAGACCAAGGTCACTCAAGGTCAGGTCATCAGGCCACGTCGAGTGACCTCACCTTCGAAAAAAGTGTCAATTCTTGTCATAGCTACACTGAGTGACCGATCACTTTGAAGCTTTCAGCGATTGATAAAGTAGGTATTTACAAAACGTATCTCTCAGAATTTTGATGTCGGTGACCAAAGAACTAGTCAGTTTTGTGACCCATTCATTAGGTAAGTACTACATATCACTATTGTACTATTGGTACCTTTTTACATTTCTGGCTCAATATCTCAGAAACTAATCGATATACGATGAAGTCATTTTAGAGGATCATGGCAGGCATGTGTACCAATAAATCGATCGCATATTCGACCCTTAAAAGCTTAAGATGAAGAAGATATAGCCGGAAATTTACTAAATTTCATAGGGGCAAAGCCTACCGCTAAACCCCCGAGACCTGTAGTCCTCTACCTACTAGACAATGGAAGAAAATTGAAAGGCACTTTTTATGGACGAGCGCCATTCTAAACACTCTCAAGCACTGAATGACAAGTAACTATGGCACACTGAACATAAAAATGGCACTCGTGACCCCGTTTATGCCCCTGAGGTAATTTCAGGTCACGAAAGGTATTTAACAGTTTTTCGCTAATAACTTCTGCTAGAGGTATGTAAGAGCGATGGAAATGCCTTTGATGTGTTCGGCTCGACGATGCGGATCGACTGATACGTAATACAACTTTTCCCGGTCAGGTCATGACCTTGACCTGAGGTCAAATTACCAAGCTGACCTTTTAGGTCAAATTAAACTTCATTTGACGCGTCTCGACATGAGGATTCCGATTCTGGCAAACGTCATGTTGTCTCTGTTGTCATTTTTTTTTTAAACCCGCGCCGGGCCGGTGCTCCGCGACTTTCGCGCCGGGCCGGGGGGGGGGGGTCTGAACACCCCCGTCTAACTCGGCTCCTGGGCCACGTAGCGACACGCGGTAAGCGGTATTCGAAAGAGCGTCAAAAATAAGGACGGCAACGTTTCTGTCATTGTTTGGGTCAGGTGAAACGTCAGGTCACCAGAGGTCATCAAAGGTCAAAGGTAGTCAATTTCAACAATTTTGGAAACTGCTAACGGCTAACTCGGGAACCAATAGAGCTACAACTCGCCGCAGAAAAGCGCATTCGATAGCCCTTTTACAGACCTTCTTGAGTATTGATCTCAAATTTGACCTCAGGTCAACGGTTTAGCCTCCAGAGGGCAAAAACTAAAAAAAGTAGTTTTCACGAAAATAGTTTTTCGTCAATAACTTTTGACTCAAAAGAGCCACGACATTACTTTTGGTAGCATCGTGTTCCTCTCGTCGAGACGGGTCGAATGAACTATTTGTTGACCTTGAAAGGTCATTTTGAAAATTTGACCTCAGGTCAAGGTCATGACCTGACCGGAAAGGGTTATGTTGCACATAAGTCGATCGGTATCGTCGAGCTGAATACATCTGACGTGTTTTCATCGCTCTACCACGTCTTTATCAAAAGTTATAGCAAAAAAAAAAACTGCTGGTGACCGTTAATGACCTGAGATGACCTCAGGGGCACAGAGAGGGGTCACAGGTGCATTTTTCCGATTCAGTGTGTTATGTTTACCTATGAACCGATGTGTGTGAGGGTTTTGAACATCATTCGTCCAAAAGAGGCGCATTTCAATTTTCTCCCATTGACTTATAGGTAATGGAGAGGTCGCAAAATTGACCTGACCTTAGGTTACCGATATCAAAATTCCGAGATAAACATTTTATACATACTGTTACTCTTATCAATCGCTGAAAGTTTCAAGGCGATCGTTCAGTCGGTGTAGCTATGACGAGGATTGAAACTTTTTCTGAGGTGAGGTCACTTGACCTGACCTGGTGACCTGACCTTGAGACCCCTGGGTCTGAAATCTTCACATGTGTGGAAAAGATGCTTAAACAGGTGTGCCAAAAAACTATCAAAATTCCGAGATATACATTTTGTACATGCTGTTACTCTTTTCAATCGCTGAAAGTTGCAAGGCGATCGTTCAGTCGGTGTAGCTATGACGAGGATTTAAACTTTTTCTGAGGTTAGGTAACTTGACCTGACCTGGTGACCTGACCTTGAGAGCCCTGGGTCTGAAATTTTCACATGTGTGGAAAAGATGCATAAACAGGTGTGCCAAAAAACGGCGGCGCTATTTGCGAAAAAAAAAAACACAGGGGAGGGGTGGT